TGTGTTGCAGTGGGGGTGGGAGTATATGATCCCCTACACTAAGGATAATGTAGTTACTTCTGATCAGTGATGCTTCATTTGCCAATTGAGTCATTTGCCTTTGAAATATCATGTGGCTGTCAACTTGCCTCTGATGAGTGGATTAATATTGTTCCTATTTCCCCTCATCTCAGGCAAGAAGTTTGCTCCTACTGAACATGATAACTTACTCAGGATGCAGCAATGCATATTAGTTAAATCTGCCACTCCATCAGACACCGTCAGAGTTTGTACAAAACATGTCTTCCCCCACAAAAAGAGATGAAATAGAACCTCAGGGCAAATGTTGAGCTGTAAAAATAAATAAGAATAGGAGCAGAACAGGGGTCCTCCTGGGACAATCAGAGAAGATCTGAAGAAAAGTCCCAGGATGAAGTTTGATCCCTGTGAAGAGTAAACACCTCCAGGCTAGGTCACAGGTCCACTTAAACAACAGCAGCAACCCCTGGGTTTAGCTGAGTTGGAAGGCTACCTTGACCCCAGCCACAGGAACTTTTACCCCAGGGATAGTAAGGGGTGTTAGGCATCTGAGTTAAGGAAGATTGAGGGAACCTCTGTTGACAAGGAATTCCAGACCCAGCTGTGCTGCCAAGATGGAGTCAGGGGTGAGAAGGAACCAGCACACACTAGTGAGTGCAGAAGCAGTGGAGAGGAATGCTTCTGGCTGTGGGCACTTACAGGAGGCTGGAGGTCTTGGTTCCAGTTAACAGGCCAGAGGGAAGAAGTGAAGGAGGATCTGAGGCCATCTTCCATACCCCAGGACTACAGTTGATTATAAAAACTGAACTACTACACATTTTTTAAAAACAATACATAAGGAGAAAAAAATTCAACCATAGAGAGTTAATACAGGAATAGAGAAGATTGGGGTTCATCTTCAGAAGAGGATACAGAAGCAAAGAACTCTCTTCTATCCCAAAGAGTAACATCAAATGGTCACCTGCTCAAAAAAGAATTCATAGAAGAACTTAAAAAAAAGACTAAAGAATAATTTGACTACCTGACAGCTATGATCAAAGAAAGAATCTTGATACAATGATACAAGAAATAATTAAAGAAAATTGTCCCAAAGCATTAGAGCAAGAGGGAAAGTAGAAACAGAAAAAAATCCACTTATCACTACCTGAAAGAGATCCTATGGGGAATACCATAGGAATATTATAATCAAATTCCAAAACCTCCAGATCATGGATAAAATAATATGAGCAACAAGAAAAAAAAACAATTTAAATATGGTAGTGCCAAAATTAGAATCACACATGACCTAGCAATGTTGACACTAAAAGACCAGAGGTCTTAGAACACTATGTATCAAAGAGCAAACTAACTGGGGTTCTGGCCCAAAATATTGCAGCAAAGTTAAGCATAATCCTGATTGAAAAAAAAATTGACATTTAATGAATTGTCAGACTTTCAGGACTTTTCAAAAAAAAAACCTGAACTTAATAGAAGATTTAACATATAAGAGCCAAGAGAAATATAAGGTACATATCATAGTCTAATTACAAGGAACTCAATAAGACAGACTGTTTACCTTTTATGTATGTAAAATGCAAAACGTATGTTTAAGATTGTTAGCAATTGGGGGCAGCTAGGTGACGCAGTGAATAGAGTACCAGCCCTGGATTCAGGAGGACCTGAGTTCAAATCTGGCCTCAGACCAAACACTTGACACTTACTAGCTGTGTGACCCTGGGCAAGTCACTTAACCCCAATTGCCTAAAAATTTTTTAAAAAAAGATTGTTAGTAATTGGGTAGTTCAGAAGAAAAATTGGGGTAGATCTGAGTATGATAGGACTTTTAATAGTAAAACAATTTAGGAACAGCTAAAAAGAACAATTATTTTATACAAATAAGATGTGAGAGAAAGAACTGACATAGAGGAATTAGATGAGGGAAGAGGGCTGTTAGTTCTAGAAACCTACTTTCTTCAAGAATAGGTTCAAGAGGGAAAAGTACATATATATCTAGAAGAGCATAAAAGTCTTCTAAATTTAGAAAGAAATAAAATGCTAAGGGGATAGGGAGGAGGGAAAGAATAAGGGAGGGATCCCTAGAGCGGAGAGTGAGGGAATAGGTTGAAGTGGGGTATTTAGATTTAAGGAAATGGAGGATAAGGGAGGGATCCTTGGAGGGGGCTAGGTTAAGTAATAGGAGGGCGAGGTAGAGAGTAGAAGTAAAGTAGAGACATTAGGAGGGATAGGAAATAAGAGATACACACAAATTTTAAAACAAAGATAGGAAGTAGAATTTGTTAGGGAAAGTATATGTGTGTATGTATGTATATGTATATCCATATATCTACATCTATATATAAATATATCCATACTTAATTATAGCCTTCTTGGGGCAAGGGAGGAAGGGGGAGAAAAGTACAAAGTAAAAAGTACACAGCAGAGAACAAAAGAAAACGAATAAGGAAGCAAAGAAAAGACAGACAGCTCTCAACACAATGCATAGTACTTATTATAAAGGCTTTCTTGAAATGAAAATTTTGAATCCTCTCTTACACTCTGCTGCGCACATGACATGCTTTTTTTTTCTTTTCTTATTATGTATTTAAGTTTCAATATTTAGGCTTATATTTCTTTTCTTATTATTTATTTACATTTCAGTAATTTTAAAAAAAGGAAAAGAGTAAGGGGGAGTCTTCAACAAACCCCCACAAAATAAGAGGGTAATCCTTCAGTAGAGGGAACATATATTTAGTATCTAAAGGAACATAATTTAGTATCATCTCCCTGATAAGGCTCTTAGGAAGATGGAGATTTTAGCAGGTGGGTCAGGGAACAGTGAGTGGGTTGCAGTATAGAGTGAGTATGGCTATCATTTTAGGTCCTGGGACAGGTTACACGCAAGTGATTTATGATCTTAGCTCCCTTTCTATACATGGCCCTGTTTTGCCATAGGTATAAATGATAGTGTTGTAGGTAATGTCATCTGTTCTGTGGACCTGATTCTGATGATGATCTTATGTATCATTGTTTTTACATAAAGAGACCTAACCCGAATTACCCTTAATATTATACCCACTGCATAGACTGTATTTTTAGAAAACTATATTATTTTATCTTTTTATTATTTGTGCTGTTTTTCCTCCAATACTCCTTATGCTAGGCTTCCTCCCAAAATTAGAATTATTTTAAGATGATTTTAGAGATAGAAGATTCACAAGAGAAATTTTGGGACCTTGCCACCAAGCATCAGGATGTGGTAGGAGTGGTATTTATTTTGTGTAGACTGGATTGGTTTTCTGTTAATGGGCAGAGAGGTTATCTTTAGGATTTGGTTAGTCCAAAGGAATAGGGTTTGAATCATTGGGTTGGCTTCCTGCGGCATAAAAAGTCCAGATTAGGGAGAGCTGGTACTCTTCAATTTAAGAACAAGTCCTACACCCCACAGGATCACTTTTATGATCTAGTGTTACCATTGCTATGGTGAATGTGGAAGCAGAATGAAGTAATATTTTATCTGAATTAGCAACCGGAAAGTGCATCTTTTTAAATATTACTGCAAGGTTGTTTTTATTGTATTTTGTGGTCCATAAGTGTTGTACTGCATTTCTATCACCAGACCAGCCTAAGCTAAGCCTCACCAGAACATCTGTGTCACAATGTGTCTACCAATTATGTGTATACCCCAAGGTTCTGTCCTAGGTCATCTTCTCTTCCCTTTCTACATTCTCTTTTTTGGTGACTTCATCAGATTCCATGGGTTATAATCTCTATACCACCTCTATAACACTATTTGCCAGATCTTTATGGTCAGCTCTCTACTCTTTTCTTAGCTCCAGTTCTACATCACCAACTGCATATTACACATTTCTAACTGGATGTTCTAATATTGGAATATCTAATTCAATATGTCCAAAACAGAACTCATTATATTATCCCCCACCTCCAACCTATCCCTCTTTCCACCTTCCCTATTGCTAACAAGAGCACTGCCATCCTTCCAGTTACCAAGGTTAACAGCCTTAGTGTCATCCTTGCTTTCTCACTTTTACTTGTTTTCCACAAATTCTCTAGCATAGATCATCTTTTCTATTTAGATAGCCACCACTTTAGTTCAGGGCTTCATTCCCTGTCTCCTAAACTATTATGATAGTAATTGGACTCCCTGCCTCAAGTCTCTCCCCTCTCCAATCCATCCTCCTCCTAGCTGTTAAAATGAGTTTCCTAAAGCCCAGGTCTGACAATGTAACACCTTCCCTCCCACCAAATTCAATAAACTCCAGTGGTTTTCTGTTACTTCTATTATCAAGTATAAACTTTTCTGTTTAATATTTAAATGTCTTCACAGCCTTGCCCTTTTATATTTTTCTTGTTTTCTTATACATTTCTCCTACTTCCTGATCCACACACATGACTCCATCTCTTATCTCCATACCTTTGCATTGGCTATCTCTTATCCTTGGAATGCATTTTCTCTTCAACTCAGCTGCAATACCATCTTCTATATGAAGTCTTTCCTGCTTTTCCCAGATGCTAGTATACTCTCTCTCCCCAAATTACATTGCATTCATTTTACATGTATTAAGTATATAGTCTTTTATATGCACAAGTTTCATCTACCCATTAGAATGTAAGCTCCTTGACCACAAGAACTATTTCACTTTTGCCTTTGTATTTTCATTGCTTATTACAGTCTCTGGCACATACTAATGGCTTAATAAATACTTGTTAATTAATTTATAAAGCCTATTGGGAAATATACCTAGAAAATTATCACAAGGAAAACATCCAATGCCCCTTCATAGATATAAGGTTAGCCTTACTCCCTGCCTCATCCACATATTCTATTTATTTCTTGTGAACAGAATATTAAATCATAGAATCATTCATCATAGAAATATAAATACCGTAATAACATGATAAATTCATTCAATTAAGTATGGGATTACTCAAAATAGAGTAATATTTTTTTCCCTTAATTATGTCTAATCATCTACATTTCTTACGGTATCAATTGCCATTTCTATGGCCGTGTTATCCTCTGTGTTTGAACATTTCAGGAAATGCTTTAAAGCCTGTAACATAATAATAAATACATGAATAAAGTTAACAAATAGTATAAAGGATTAGATGTATATTAATTATCCCATAATAGTAGAGTCCAACAGATGTGAATAAAGTACAAAATATTAATATTTAATTAATAGACATTATTTTAAGGATAGTCTATCATAGCAGTGATGAAAGCCAAGAAAATTTCTAACCGAAATTTAGTCTATAGGCTATTTGATTACATCAAGGAATCTACAATTCACTTCCAATTACCAATTTCTTATTGTAAGAATTTTGCTTTCTTACTGTTGTCTGCCCAAGACCAAAGTGAATTTTCTACTTCCACAGTAGCACAGACATGTTTGACACTGGGTTCAATCAGTTAACTGTTAATATTACTGATGATCCGGAAGGATTAGTAAGGACTAGTAAGTCATTCACAGTTTACCTATGAGTAAGTAATTCTAATAAGTAAAGCTATTTGTTATAGTCATATTTTACTTATCAATTTCCTTTTTTAAAATTTATTTTTATTGATGCCTTTTGTCTTATATAGCCTTTATTTCAAAATATATCCCCTCCCTTTCTCCTACCACGGTGTTATCGTTTGTAGTAGATTAAAAGGGAAAAAAAAGAATTCCGTAAACAATAATCAGCATATCAATCACATATGACAACATATGAGATATTTCACATTCATAGTCTCTCAGCTCTACAATGAATGAAAGGAAGGGAATTTTCTCTACCATTCTCTAATGTCAAGTTTTTACCCATAAATTCTCATGTGGTGTGAAGTTTGAACAAAATATGGTTTGAGAGTGCTTTTCAACATATGTACATACACACACACACACACACACACACACACACACATATATACAGAGAGAGAGAGAGAGAGAGAGAGAGAGAGATGAAAGAAGTGGGGCTTTGTAATGACAAGGAGATATAAGGGGGTTAATCTGGGACAGTCTCATTGTGCATTGAGGTTAGTTTGAAACAGAGTTTAAAACATTACATTTAACTTAATTCAGGGAATGTTTACTGATAACCTACCATGTGCAAGACATTATTTTAGGTATTAGGGGGTGAGGGAGGTTGTGTATGAGTAGATACAATAACGAGTATGACAAAAATCCTATCCTCAAAGAATTTATAATGTGGAGCCAGGGGATGAGGGTAGAGATAAAAGAAGTATATGAATAAAAAGACTAATAAAAAGGAATGATGTCATAAATGCCACAAGATGGGAGAGAAATTATATATGGTTGGGATTTCTTGGAAAGTTTCATGGCATTTGAACTTCATCTTGATGAAAGGATAAGATTTTAATGGCAGAAGCTATAAGGAGAAAACATTTCAAGCAGAGGAAATGGAATGAACAAAGTCACTGAAGTAGGAAATTATGAAGCACATTTGGAATAATGAGCTATCTTTTTTGCCTGATGCATAAAACTAATCCCTGTAGGAGAATTACCAACAGTTCAGCTGTCTCAGTGAAGAGATAATGATTTGCTGTTTGGGTTTTATTTTCCCTCTCCAATACATCCTCCACATATGCCAAATTTATATTCCTATATATGAATACATTGAATACATTATTATCCCAATTCAAGAAACTTCAGTGGTTCCCTTTTGCCTCTAGTACAAAATATAAACTTCTCTGTTCAGATTTAAAGTCCTTGTTGCCCCAACCAATCTTCTGAAATTTATTTATTATAACTGCTCTTCATGCTTTCTATATTTTAGCTAAACTGTCCTACTTATCATTCCCCACATACAACACTCCATACACTGCCTCTACAGAGTGTTCCCAATATCTAGAATGCTCTCCCTTCTCACCTCCATTTCTTGGAATCCCTAGTCCATTCAAGACTCTGTAGGCCTTTCCTCATTCTACCCAATTATTATAAATCCTCTCCCCCCCAAAAAAAACATTGCTTTGATTTTACTTGGATTATATGTTGTATTTATCTATCTCTCTACCTATTGTTTCCCTCTCCAATACAATATATAAACCTTTTAAGGTAGAAACAGTTTTTGGTTTAGTACCCCTAGGACCTCACAGAATGCCTGGTACACAGTACGGGCTTAATCAATGCTTGCTGAATTGAATTACATGTGCCCTAACCACATTCCGTCTCCTCAAGGACCTTGAGCATTCAACATGTCTCTTCTAATGCATTTTCAATCTCTCCCTTCTCATTGACTCTCATTTGTGCATAAATATGCTCAGCCTAATCCTAAAAAAAATCTATCCCTTGCCTTTTCTATCCTTCATCTCTGCTTTGGCACTCTAACAACTGAAGTCATTATTGGGATCACAAGTTAGCAAGACACACATTTATATCATTCTTCACATCCTGCTTCTTAAAAGCAGAGTAAAGACAAACTTTAGCCCCTGAACCAAAATTTCTTTCCTCTTTCTTTCCTCCCTTTGTTGACAAACCTTTTGAAAACCTTAATATATCTACTTTCTTCCCTCTCTTCAATCCCTTGTAACATGGTCTCTATCCATAGCACTTTACCATAACTGCTCAATCAGAGGTCACCAGTGATCTATTACTTGCCAAATCCAGTGCCCTATTCTTGGTATTAATTCCCTTCAACTTCTCTAGGCAGCAACTAACCTTATTGGCTATCTCCAATTTTCACATTAAATGGGTCCTTTTCCCATTTGTTTGATCTCTTTGGGATAGAGCCCTAGAAGTGCTATTGCTGGATCAAAGGGTATGCACATTTTTATAGCCCTTTGGCATAGTTCCAAATTGTTCTCCAAAATGGTTGGATCATTTCACAACTCCACCAACAATGTATTAGCGTTCCAATTTTCCCACATCCTCTCAAACATTTATTATTTTCCTGTTTTGTCATGTTTGCCAATCTGATAGATGTGATGTGGTACCTCAGAGTTGTTTTGATTTGCATTTCTCTAATCAATAACGATTTAGAGCATTTTTTCATATGACTATAGATGGCTTTAATTTCTTCATCTGAGAAGTATCTGTTCATATCCTTTGACCATTTATCAGTTGGGGAATGGCTTGTGTTCTTATCAATTTGTCTTAATTCTCTATATATTTTAGAAATGAGGCTTTTATCAGAAAGATTGGTTGTAAAAATTCTTTCCCAATTTTCTACCTTCCTTCTAATCTTAGTTGCATTGGCTTTGTTTGTGCAAAAACTTTTCAATTTAATGTAATATTATTTCATTGTCTATGGTGCCTTTTAGCAGGATGTAGTTTCCTTCCTTATCTCTTTTGATTAGATCTATTTTTTGCTTTTGCTTTATGAGATCAGGATTGCTACCCCTGCTTTTTTTACTTCAGCTGAACATAATATATTCTGCTCCAGCCTTTTACCTTTACCCTGTATGTGTCACTCTTTTTCAAATGTGTTTCCTGTAAACAACATATTGTAGGATTATGGTTTTTAATCCATTCTGCAATCCATTTCCGTTTTATGGGAGAGTTCATCCCATTCACATTCACAGTTATGATTACTATCTGTGTCTTTTTCTCCATCCTTTTTCCCCCTATTTATGCTTTCCTTTCCCCCCTTCACTAGTGTTTTGCTTTTGACCACCGCCTCCTTCAGTCCCTTCCCCCTTTTATTATCCCTTTCCCTTTTCTTCCCCTTTAGTCTTACTGCTGCTTCCCTCCTTCTTTCCCCCCTCCCTTTTCTTTCCCCCTCCCTTTTCTTTCCCCTTTTCCCTCCTACTGCCTATAGGGCAAGTTAGATTTCTATACCTAACTGATTATGTTATGCCCTTCTTGAGCCAAATCTGATGAGAGTAAGGTTCAAACAATGCTCCCCCCCCTTCTTTCCCTCTGCTGTAATAGGATTTTGTGTCTTTTCCTGTAATGTAATTTACCCTTGTCTGCCTCCTCCTTTCTCAGTACATTTTCTAAGATCAGATTGATCCACTTATTTGGATCCATTTAACCCACTTGATTAGATTTTTTTTTATCATTACATCAAAGTCAACTAATATCCACCCTCTTTATGTATACTCCTTTAACAAGGTGTAATAACAATACAGTTCTCAAGGGTTGCAAGTCTCATATTCCCTTGTAGGGGTTTAAACAGCCCCCCCCTTATTAACAACATATTGTAATCTTCTGTCCCATTTACCTTTTTAAGTCCTTCTTCAGTCCTGTATTTGAAGATCAAATTTTTTGTTGAGCTCTGGTCTTTTTATCAGGAAAGTTTGGAAGTCTCCTATTTCATTGAATATCCACCTCCTCTCTTGAAAAATGATGCTCATTTTTGCTGGGTAATTGATCCTTGGCTGCATTCCAAGCTCCTTTGCCTTACGGAATATCATGTTCCATGCCCTGCGGTCTTTTAATGTAGAAGCTGCAAGGTCCTGTGTAATCCTGACTGTGGTTCCATGATATTTAAATTTTTCTTTCTGGCTGCTTGCAGCACCTTCTCTTTCATCTGGTAATTTTGGAATTTTGCTATTATATTCCTTGGCATTGTCAATTTGGGATCTCTTTCAGGTGGTGATCGTGGATTCTTTCTATGGTTATTTTCCCTTCTGGTTCTAGGACTTCAGGGCAGTTTTCCTTTATGATTTCCTGAAAGATACTGTCCAGGCTCTTTTTTTCATCATGATTTTCAGGTAGTCCAATAATTTTTAAATTGTCTCTCCTGAGTCGATTTTCCAGGTCGGTTGTTTTACTGATGAGGTCTTTTATGTTTTCATCTATTTTTTCATTTTTTTGTTTCTGTTTGACTGATTCTTGCTCTCTCATAGAGACATTAGTTTCCATTTGTCCAATTCTAGTTTTTAACAGATTGTTTTCTTCTGTTAGTTTTTGTACTTCCTTCTTCAATTGGCCAATTGTGTTTTTTAGGGACTTGTTTTCTTCAGTGTATTTTTTTTCCAATTGGCCAATTGTATTTTTGAAGGACTCTTCTACCTCTCTCATTTGACTATTAAAATCCTTCTTGAGCTCTTCTAAGAAGGCTTTTTGGGCTTCAGACCAGTTCATATTCCCTTTTGTTGTTGCAGATGTGGGTTTGTTGACAATGTTGTCCTCTTCAGAATTTCTGTCTTGATCTTCACTCTTCTCATAATATGAATCTATGGTATGTTTCTTTTTACTCATGGTGTTTCTTTATTCCCTGGCCTTTAAAGAGATTGAGCTCTCCTGCTGGGGAACAGAGGGTACTGACCCAAGCTTCTTGTGTTGGGAGCCTAGGTCTTGGTCACTGGCTTTGTGTGCTGGGGCCTCTTATGCTGGCAATTGGAGGCTGTAGGTTTCTGGCAGCTTACCTCGTGTTGGGCTGGAATCAGCAAGGCTGGAACTTTCAGGCAATTCTAGGTTGCCTGCTTTTCCTTTCCTTTAGCTTTCTTCAGCTCCTTTTAGATGGGTGCAGGAGGGTTTATCTGCCTGGGGCCCCTGCAGTGTTGTCTCCCTTTTCTGCTAATGCACTGGGAGATTCCTTTGGTAGAGTGCCGAGGCACCTGGTGGTTTTCTGAGCTGGTTTCCACCGGTTCCCCCCCTCACTGAGGCACTCGGAGTCCAGGTGTTGGTGTTTGCCTGCTCTACCACCTGGGCTTCAGGATCTCTTCACAATTGGGGCTTCAGGGCTCCTACAGCTCACCTGGTGTTGGGTTGGAATCAGCAAGGTCGGGGCTTTAGGAAGCCTTTAGGTTGTTTTCTTCACCTCCTTTCAGATGAATGCCGCAGGGTACTTATCTGCCTGGGGCCCCTTGTTTTTGCTGAGGCACTGGGAGACCCATTTGCTGGGCTACTGCACTGCTGCTCCTTGTCTTTCTTCTAGTTCAGGTGTTCCAGGGTTTTTTTTTTCTGGGGTGATATTTTCTGGGTTTTCAGAGGTTGATGGGGAGAGTGAGAGCCACTACCTTTTCACTCCGCCATCTTGGCTCCTGGAAGCTGACTATATATCCTTTCCTTTAGCAATATCATCCACTCCCGTGTTCAGCTATCACTTCTACATTGGTAATTCCCAAATCTAAGATTCCAGCCCTGAACTCTTTCATAAGCCCTAGATATGAATTCTTAAATGCCTACAAGACAACTCCACCTCAGTTAAGTTAACATGGACAAAACTTCACCCTGAAATTTTACCATCTTTTTTGATTTCTCTGCCCTTGTCAATGACACCACTATTTACTCAGTTTAAAAATTTAACTTTGTTGCCTAACTTTTCATTCAACCTCACTTCCAATAGTCAGTCGATAGTTAATAAAATGCATTTACTACGTGCCAGGCACTGTGCTAAGTGCTGGAGATATAAATAAAAGCAAAAAAAGAGGGAGCCTTTGCCCTCACGGAATTTACATTCTAAAGGGGGATGATAACACATAAATGAGGAACTGAAATGGGAATGGAGGGAGATGCTCAAGTAGGTGCATGGTGTCAGAAGAACCTTTCTCAAAATGGAGCTGCCTAAAGAATTCACCAATGAGAGAAAGGGCCTGCAGGAACCTAATCAGTTGTCAACTTATGTTGGTCCCACATCTGAAATATCTCAGATAGGGATTCTAAATAACAGAGATGAAAAGGTAGTGCATTGTAAGCATTAGAAAAGTTTGTGAGTCAGTAAAGACCTAGGTTCAGATCCCACTTCTAAGCACAAGCTACTTAACCTCTCTGAGTCTCATTCTCATTCTTTCCTTTTATGACCATCTGCCTAATTCAGTGTTCGAGCTTCATAACTGGTCTTCCCACAACTTTAGTCTCTCCCTGCTTCATTCAACCTGTTATACCACTGTCCATCAATCTTCTCAAGGGCCAGGTATTCAGAATAAAAGTCAATTTGGATGAAGCAAGTGATTAAACAGTTAGCAGGTAGTGAGGAAATAAAATATAGGGCTTGTAGACTCCTTTTTCAGAAATGTGGCAGTGAAGAGGAAAAAAGAAACAGGATAGGGGCAGCAAGGTGGCACAGTGGATAGAGCTCCAGCCTTGGAATCAGGAGGAGGACCTGAGTTCAAATCTGGCCTCAGCCACTTGACACTTACTAGCTGTGTAACCCTGGACAAGTCACTGAAGAAGAAGAAGAAGAAGAAGAAGAAGAAGAAGAAGAAGAAGAAGAAGAAGAAGAAGAAGAAGAAGACGACCAGAATAATGGCTTGAGGCATTAATAGTATCAAGGAAAAGTTGTTTTCTAAGTTCAGGGCAGCATGAAGCATGTTTGTAGCCCCAGGGTCACAGTTCAAACAACTGTTGGGGGGCTTTTAACTTCCTGCCCACCTCAGTCCCAGTTAAACAGGACCTGAAGGACAGGATTTTAGAACACTACTCTGAAGAGGTATATATATATATCTGCATGCTAACACTGCTGATCTGCCTCTGGATAAAGTGGCAGAAAAATTGAGCTTAACCTTTTTCTCAGCCTGAACCATCTCACTGATCTGCAAATCATGTCACCAAATTGCCCAACAAGTTGTTCATCTATTTGATAGTACAACACTTTGCATCTATTTAACCTTCAGACTAACGGAAAATAATAAATATTTGTGGGGCAGCTAGGTGGCGCAGTGGATAGAGCTCTGGCCTTGGAGTCAGGAGGACCTGAGTTCAAATTCGGCCTCAGACACTTAACACTTAATAACTGTGTGACCCTGGGCAAGTCACTTAACCCCAATCGCTTAAACAAACAAACAAACAAACAAAACCAATAAATGTTTCTTAAAATGGCTCCATAACTCAGTCATGCTTATTTTAATATGGCCCATTGCCTAGTTTGAAATTGATTCTATCCACATTTCTGGTACAAACCCTTTGATATGGATAAAACCATGGCGATAACTTTCCATGCTTGCTGTCGCTCTCCTTAAGCCTTTGTTTATCCTCAAAATAATTGCTTACTCCAAAGTGCTTAACAAAAACTTGCTTAACTGAATTAAACTATAATAAATGACAGTTATTGAAGTACTGAATATACTACAATTTCATATCTTGTCAATGGCTCCGTATGAACTTAAAAGGAAAAGAAAGTCCCAGGGAGCTATGCTGACCCCAATACTGTTTAACACACCAAATACAAAGTAAGAACAGTATGACTAAACATCAACTTTAAAATTTAAAGAACTTTAAATTTCATATGACAGTAATTAAAGAGAAATGGAAATACTTGTTTTATTTCTTAAGTTCAGAATGAAAAAAAAAAAAAGACAGGGTTCCTGGACAAGGTGCAATGGAAGAATGGTAAGACAAGAAAGTAGAGTAACTGTGAGGATAGTAATGAGTAAGTTGAATCTGGAGTTGCAGATACTGGAGTGGGAAGAGGGAATGGGAAACTGGGTTTGAACAGTCTCTTCTCTAGACTTCTGATAATCCAGAAAAATAAGGTCTGAGGGCATAGGTCAAGCAGCTAAAGGAGATAGAGGAGGCAGACAGCTTAGTAGTCTAAATGGCAGGAGGTGGGGGGAACAGTAGAATAAAGAGCCTTTTTAGGAATAAAATTTTATTCACTTTGTAACATTTTAGGAGAAATCTAGTAAAGGGAAAAGTAGAAATCAGCTAAGGGATCACCAAAGCAATATGCAGAAAGACATAAGGAAAAACAGGAAGTAAATTATGCAAGCAACACTTCATTGATCTCACTTTTTCCAAAATTATCTCTAAAATTAAGCCAATGATGTTTTCAACTAAAAACTGACCTGTGTTACATGATTTAGACATAATGGGTGATACCATAAGCAAACTAGGGGAGCAAAGAATAGTTTACCTGTCAGATCTATGGAAAATGGAAGAATTTATGAATAAACAAAGATAGAGAACATTATGAAATACAAAAATGGATAATTTTGATTACATTAAATTAGAAGGGAAGCAGAAAGGTGGGAAGCAATTTTTATAGCCAGAGCCTCTGATAAAGGCCTCATTTCTCAAATTCATAAAGAACTGAGTCGAATTTATAAAAATACAGGTCATTCCCCAATTGATAAATGGTCAAAGGATATGAACAGGCAGTTTTCAGATGAAATTAAAGCTATCTATAGCCGTATGAAAAAAATGCTCTAAATCACTATTGATTAGAGAAATGCAAATCAAAATGACCCTGAGGTTCCACATTACACCTATCAGATTGGCTAATATGACAAAACAGGAAAATGATAAATGTTGGAGATGTGGGAAAATTTGAACACTAATGCACTGTTGGTGGAGTTGTGAACTGATCTAACCATTCTGGAGAGCAATTTGGAACTACCACTACTAAGTCTGTATTCCAAAGAGATCATAAAAAAGGGAAAAGGACCCACATGTACAAAAATATTTATAGTAGCTCTTTTTGTGGCAGCTAAGAATGGACCATCAATTGGATAATGACTGAACAAGTTGTGGTATAGGAATGTAATGGAATACTACTGTGCTATAAGAAATGATGAGCAGGCAGACTTCAGAAAAACCTGGAAAGATTTCCACAAACTGATGCTGAATGAAGTGAACAGAACTAAGAGAACACTGTACACAGTAACAGCCACACTGTGCTTTGGTAGACTTAGCTCTTCTCAGTAACACAATGATCTAACAATTCCGAAAGACTCAAGATGGATTATGCTATCCACATCCACAGAAAGAACTATGGCGTCTGAATGCAGATTGGAACATATTATTTTCTCTTTTTTTTTTCTTTCTTGTAGTTTTTCCCTTTTGTTCTGGTTCTTCATTCACAACATAATTAATGTGGAAATATGTCTAATAAGATTGTACATATATAGCCTACAGCAGATAGCATGCCATCTTGGGGAAGGAAGAGAGGAGGGAATGTTGGAAACTATCTTTACAAGTAATAGGAAAAAAATAAAATTCTATTATGTGGGGAAAAAATTTAAAAAGAAGACTGACCCGTGCATACTGGCCACACAGCAAAAAGAATTTTCCTGCTGAAAAATGTTTCTTTTCTCCTTCAAAATATAAAGCAATGCTCTGATAGTCTTCATTAGTGGTGTCCTCAGAACCTACAAAAGAGAAAGACTAAATGTAATTTCTACATCTTCAATTCCAGGAGTGTGTTGACACTGCCAACTCTTCCTACCCACCTCCAATGTCTTTCAGTCCAAATGGATTTATTCCCTTTGAAGCAGAGAATGGTCTAAGTCAGGGATGGGAAACCTGCAGCTGCGAGGCCACATGTGGCCTTCTAGGTCTTTGAATAAAGCCTTTTGACTGAGTCTAAGTTTTACAGAACAAATCCTCTTATTAAGGGGATTTGTTCTGTGAAGTTTGGATTCTGTCAAAGGGCTGCATTTGAGGACCGTCAGGCCTACATGTGGCCCTGAGGCTGTAACACTTCGGGTCTAAGTGACAGCTTCAGCCACATAGTATGACATGGAAATAAGTGATCTATGCAGGCCTTAAATTTGCATAAGTAAGTCTCCCAGAGGATATAAAGAAGTTATGTTGATGTAAAAAAATTAGAACATTTCATTTCCCTCTTCTGTATTATATTTCTCAGCCCTGCCCAGGAGAACTGGGCTCACTTTAAATAAAGAAAAGAAGAAAAGAGGGAAGAAATTATTGATAATTACAGAGGGAATCATGATAAGAGGAAAGAAAACAGAAAAAGGAGACAAAGGAGAAATGCTCTTGTACTCAAAGAACTTACAGTTTTATATAACATTTAAATGAAAATAATCCCATGAAAATTTCATAATATTTACCAATAATATCAGCATAAAGCTCCATCTGATTATGCTGCTGGGCCAGTGTGAAAGCTTCATTATTGCACTTGGACATAACCAGAAATTGTATAGCAGAACCATAGTCACCCAGCTGGAGGAAGAATCTAATTCAAATATAGATGTATATGACATAAAAAATTAATAAGAACCTAGCACATTTGGTTGAAAGCATGTTGTCCAGGTTCTACAACCTTCCCCCCATCATTACTCTTCATAGCTCAACCTTCTTGCCTTCCTCTGACATATAAGAAACAAACAGGCACAGGAAGCAACTATTTGAGTAAATTAAACTGACAATATTTTGTATATATATATACATTATATATATATATATATATATATATATATATATACATTATATATATATATATATATATATATATATATACCCTCTCAATGATAGACAACACTTATATCCAGATACCTAATTATAGAGCAGTTCCAATGAAAATAATTTATAATGATATGATATCTGATGGTCTCCCCAAGCTGAAGTTTAATTCCCTATCTTTTCCATTCAAGGAATACACTTAGTATTAAAACAATCCCTTCGTGGAAGATGTGAAAGAAAAAGAATAAGACCATAGGTAAGGTAAGCTGATTATTTCTTAGAAGCCACGGGAGTTACATTACAATGGTTTTAAGGAGACAAAAATATCTTGCTAGTGACAAACTTAAACTTAAGAACTCAGAAAATAGGGGCAGCTAGGTGGCGCAGTGGATAGAGCACCAGCCCTGGAGTCAGAAGGACCTGCATTCAAAAATGGCCTCAGACACTTGACACTAGCTGTATGATCCTACACAAGTGATTTAACCCCAATTGCTTCACAAAAAAAAAACCCAACACAACAACAAACTTAGAAAATAAACTTCCAAAATAAGCTTTTCATCTGACTTCACTAAACGTAATCCCCAGATACTCAAAAGAGATCACCTTAACTTTCAAGCATTCTTGATGAAAAGACCAGAGCTGAATAGAAAATTTGCCTTTCAAATACAGGACTCAAGTGGAACATGAAGAGGTAAACAGGAAAGAGAAATCATAAGAGAGTTATTAAGATTGAACTGTTTACATTCCTGCATGGAAAGATGATATTTATAACTCATGAGACATTTGTCAGTATTAGGGTAGTTGGAGGAAAAAAATTATAGGTATGTATATATAGATAGATAGACAGAGGGCACAGGGTGAGTTGAAGATTAAGGGGTCATATCTGGAGAATAAAAGTAAAGGATGAGAGAGGATTATACTCGGAGAAAAAGAAAGGGAGAGGTAGAATGGGGTAAATTATCTCACAAAAAAAACAGAAAAGGTCTCTTACAGTGGAGGGAAATGGGAAGGTGAGAGGGAATGAGTGAATCTTATTCTCATAGAATTTGGCTTAAGGAGGGAATAACATACACATTCAATTGGGTATGGAAATCTGTCTTACCCTACAGGAAAATAGGGGGACAAAGGGACAAGAGAGCAGAGGGATGATAGAGAGGAGGGCAGATTGGGAAAGGGGGTAATCAGAAGTAAATACTTCTGAGGAGGGACAGAGTCAAAAGAAAGAATAGAATAAATGGGAGGGCAGGATAGGATTAAGGGAAACAGAGTTAGTTTTTCATGTCTACTATGGATGTGTTTTGTATAACTGCACATGTACAACCTATATTGAGTTGCTTGCCTTTCCAATGAGGGTGAGTAGGGAGGGAGGAAGAGAGAAAATTCAAAAGCTAAAGTTTTAAAAACATATGTTTAAAAAATGTTTTCACATGCTACTGGGAAATAAGAAATACAGGAAATGGGATACAGAAGTCTACCCTGCCCTACAGGAAAATAGAAGGGAAAGGGGATAAGAGAAGGGGAGAGAGATAGAAGAGAGGACAGACTAGGGGAAGGGATATTCAGAATGCATGCCATCTTGGGGTGGGGGGAGGGGTGAGATGGGGTGAAAATTTGGAACTCAAAAACTTGTGGAAGTGAATGTTGAAAACTAAAAATAAATAAATCTATATTTAAAAAATAAAAAATAAAAAAAATTTTAAAAAGAGATCACCTTAGTAATCCACACCAGAAGAACCAAAGAAATGAAGAATGACTATTCCACAGATCATGACTGGTAGGTAGATATGTGGCACACTGAGTTTGGCCTTCAGTACCTACATTTGGACAGGCATTGGAGTAGAATAGGTAGGCTCAAAACTGAATAGGAGGAGAGTGGCCTAAACTGCATTTCGGGAAATTATGCAGTGTCTTCAAAGATCCCAAGATGTTCTCTAATACAAAACCCCATGTTTTAAGACCTGTAAAGTGGTGAAGCTATATGTCTGCAAATTATGCAGATATGAATTCTGCAAATGACTATGTTCTCCAAAAAAGCAAAACTGTAGAAAATCTAAAAGTAAAGAAAAGACATATGATAAATATAAGTAGAATAAAGCACATTACCAATGATGATTTCTCTGCAGGAAGTGTAAAAGATACTGTGATAGGAAAAAGGAGCCAGACCAGTCATTTGGGAGCAAAAGAATAGCCTGAGTGCTATACACAAAACTTTTCTTTTAAAGATCTAAAGGACATCCACTATGGTTGGTAAATCCTTCATAGATAACTTATGAAAGATTGTGGACAAGAATCACACAGGACAAAAATTTATGGATGAGCTAATGATCTATACTAGTGGGGAAAGTACCCACATACTGATGAAATCATAGCTTCTTTGAAGTATAACTTTCCAAAACAGAAGAAAAGTCACAAGAAGAGTAAGAATGAGGCAGGTGAGATGAGCAGAACATCTAGGTCAGGAGTACTATGATTAAAATTGTAAAAAATAAAAATAAGGGATCCAGAGGGGGAAAAAAAATCTCATTTTGTTATCTTCTCAGAAGTTTCCTATTTATTCCCTTTTCCCTACCTCATTCTGTATTTCTCAATCTTTCAATGTAAATCAATGAGTTACCTCTATCTCCCCATTTCTTGGAACTCTTCTTAATCTACAAAAAGGGCTGAAAGAAACAGCAGACAAGAAACTGTTTGGCTGTATGACATTTCTATCCCACTGACATCCAGTAGTATTACCTTCCATTTAGATTTATAGTATCTTGACTCAAACACAAACTTTCCCTTAAAAATATCTTTAAATATAACTGAATATATCAGCTTTCCACTCTGCAAAAAAGAGTAGTTTTCACCATTGAGGCATTGCCATCCACAATTATATCCCCATATTCTATTTAATATCTTAGATAGGAAACTTTAGACAGCATCAGCTATATTTCAATATGTAATAGTCATGAAGAAATTAGATAAATAATGTGCCCTTTTAAATTGTATACTCCTTTCTATTTCCATTCTATTTTCTCCAGAGGTCTATCATATCTAACTTTCTAATATTCTATTAATCTTTTTAACTCTTTATTTTATAGTTAGATTTATCTAGCTTTTAGAGGGGTAAATTGAGGTACCCCACTAGTATCCTTTTACTGTGTGTTTCCTTCTATAACTCATTTAACTTTTCCTTTAAGAATTTGGATGCTCTGCCATTTGGTGCATATGTGTTTAGTATTGATATTATTTCATTGCCTGCGGTAACTTTTAGCAAAATGTAGTTTTCCTGATTATCTATTTTAATTATGTCTATTTTTGCTTTTGCTTTGTCTGAGATCATGAGTGTTCTTCCTGCTCTTTTTACTTCACCTGGAGTACAACAGATTCTATTTCAGCCCCTTATTTTAATTCTGTGTGTCTTTATGTTTGAAGTCTGTTCCTTCTAAATGACATATTTGGATTCTGGTTTCTAATCCATTCTGCTATCCACTTTTATTTTATAGATGAGTTCATCCCATTCACATTTACAATTATGATTATTAACTGTGCATTTCCCTCTATCCTATTTTTTTCTGTTTATCCTTTTCTCTCTTTACCCTGTTTCTCCTCAAAAGTCTGTTTTGCTTCTCACCACTACTTCCTTTAATTTTCCCTCCCTTTCATCACTCCCCCCTCGTCTCTTATCATCTGCCTTCCTATTTCCCTGTTGGTAGATTTCTATACTCAATTGAGCATACATGTATATTCTTCCCTCTTTGAACCAATTCTGATGAGAGTGAAGTTTAAATCACATAAAATCTTATTATTTTTAGGTTGACAAATAGCATGAATATTATGATGCTTTAGTCAGTTTCTTCAATAATGACCAAATCTTTAATAAGTTGTTTGAATCTGAGGAAATCTACCATTGGTAAAATCTTTTAACTTAAGTCTTCTTCTTCCTCTCTGTACTTTAGAGATAATAAATACCTTGATTTTACATTATTTCTTTGATAGTATATTTTAATAAAGAACAGTTTTCCATATGTATGTCAAATACTCTGACATTCTCACCATCTTCAAGCATTGACTACCATTTTTTCCTCCATTATAAGAACTCATTCTTGTATGTCTCTTTTATGTGAGATAATTTTCCCCATTCTTCCTCTCTCTTCCCCCTCATCCTGATGGTTTCTATCCCTATTTTTTTAGATCATACCATCATAGGAATGTAAATAGTTTAACCTTATTAAGGGCCTTTGATTTCTTTTTCATTTTTGTCTTTGTATGCTTTTCTTCAGTCTTGTGTTTGAATGTCAAATTTTCTTTCCAGCTGCTTTTTTTTTGTAAAGAATGCTTGAAAGTCCTCTATTTCATTAAAATCTATCTTCATAACAATCTCATCAGATATGTAGCTGTACTAAAGGTATTCTTTTTTATTATACTTCAATTCAAAAACCTTATTATATACAAATCACTGTTCTAGGTGCTAGACTTAGGAGAACAAAAACAAAATAGTCCCTTCCCCAAGGAGTTCACATTCCACTGAAATACAAGTATTGGTGGGTACTTGAATGGTTAAAGGAAAAAACTGAGTGTTCTAGGAATTTCTGAGGAAGAAGAGAGCCTTAATAACTAAGGAAATCAGGAAAGGATTCATGAAGTAAAAAGTGATTCTTATGCTGAGCCTTGAAAGAAGATAAGGTTGGGGCAGCAAGGTGATGCAGTGGATAGAGCACTGGCCTGGCCCTGGTGTCAGGAGGACCTGAGTTCAAATGCGGCCTCAGACACTCACTAGTTGTGTGATTCTCAGCAAGTCACTTAACCCCAACTGCCTCACAAAAAAAGAAGAAGATAAGGTCTCTGAGTGACATAGCTGAAGTCATAATATATTTCTAAGCATGAATGGGTAGACTTGGAGTCAATAAGACCTGAGCTGAAATTCCACCTGACTAGCTGGTAAAATTTTTGGCACTTTTTTTGGCTCTTCAACCACTATATTGTTTTCTTATATTTATAGATTTATTTAATGATACATGCTACCAATGTTATGTGTGAAGTATATAATCATGTAATTGGCCTATATTTTGAGGTAGTTACTGGTGTTCTTTTCCTTATTATTTTTATAAGAATTACTATTTTATTAGTATTATATAAACACAGAGTCAGAAAGCTATTTCGATAGTCCAGGCAAGAGCTGCTGAGAATTTAAATTAGGGTGGTGAGTAGAGAGAAGATGAATATGAGAGATATTATGGAGACAGAATCTAGTACAACTCGGCAAGAAGATATGTGGGCAGATAGAGCACTGGCCCTGGAATCTGGAGGACCTGCATTCAAACCCAGGCTCAGACACTCGACACTTCTTGCTGTGTGACCCTGGGCAAATCAATTAACCCCAACTGCCTTGCCAAAAAAGAAAAAGAAGAAGAAGTCACATGGGCAAAAAGAAAAGAGTCAAAGAAGATTCTGAACCTGGACTGAGAAAACAGTACTCTGAGATCCTGAACATATGTCCAACTTACTGACCTGTAAGTCTGGCCCTTTTAGTACCAGATATTTTTACACCAAGAAGTTACAACATGACTATTATATTACCTGGCTACCATTTTGGCTCCTTCAAGAGACTGGGTTTCTCTGACAACACTAACAGCTTTTTCAGGATTACCAAGGTGGTCCAAATATATACGTATTACATTATCCCATTGCTTGGCATTTTTATAAGCCACAACAGCTTCTTTATATCTGTAATACATAATGGGCGTGTCTTAAATTTCACATTTTGAATATTTTTTTAAAGAACTAGAGGTCTGTAATCACAAATGTGATCTTTTCTTACTTATCTTTCCAACACCACTGTTCTAATTTCCCCATTTCCTTTATTGTTCTTAATTTTTACCCTCATTTTCCATTTATCTCTTCTTTTCCCAGTTTCTACCCCACTCATTCGCTGTGCTTTCCCTTTGTTCTCCTGGTGGTAAACTCTTAAAAGAAATGAGCAGGTCAGGACTTTAGAAGTCGCTGCCATTGTTTACCTGAAGAGAAGAAGACATGGCCACTGGAGGCTATATCTCCAAGTCACTGCATGGCAATTTAGAGCTCAAATCTCAAATTAAGAAATATTCAAACTGTTACCTACACTAAAGGATTTTCAAAGTGAATGCCTATAACTTCAGCCTAAAGCTAGCTATTCATGCAAAAAACATAAAGCCTAAATAGTACTTTTAAGTGGCATCAGAAGCTATTTTAAGATACTATTTAAATAAACTCATTTGCAAAAAGGTAGATATTTATATTTCCATGAAAACTGAATTATCTTTAAATAATGTTTAGTGTATATCTTTCTTGATATTTTGTTAAAATAAAATGTTTATTTTCTGAAATAAAGCTTACCTTCCATCTGCTTCCTTAGATTTGGCATACTGTAGATGAACCTTTGGAGAAGACACATGCGGAAGTAACTCACCAACTTTTGCCCTAGAAAACAGGAATTAATAAATTGTCACATTCCTGAACTAAATTTTGCATTTACATTTTTCTTATACCCTTCACCCACAAATTAATGTGTAACTTTTTTATTTTAAAACATATAGAACAGCAATAAAGATCTTTTTTGTCACTTAAATGATTTAAGAAACCAGGAGAAATACTGTTAAAGTTGATAACCGGACCTGATGCTATTTTTCATACCGTCTGTGTTTCACTAGTAAGTGAGTCTGCCTCTTCAGCAGCTAAATTCAGTAGACTAGCTTTACTAAAATAAAAGAAGACTCTCCTTAATAAGATGGTAGTAGTTCTGAAGTCCATAAACCCAAAGATATTATAAGGAAATAAAGGGGTCATCAAGAAATACTTAAGCTAATTAAAGAGATAACAACATTGTGGTGAGAAAGCTTCTTTTACTATTAACAGCTAATGGTTTTAAAATTTCATTATACTTTCATTTCCTTACCTCCAGTCTCTGTGTTTATTTCTAAGTATGATCATTTGTCACACACCATCCCCTCTCACACTGAAAACACATTTGCTCTGAATCGTTTTACTAATTTTTTATAAACAACCCTGCACTACAAACAGTCACATCAAATTCTTACCAGTTTTTACATCGGATATACACAGATGCTGCTTTATCATAATATTGTCCTTTTTCATATAACTGAGCTGCTTCTGAAAATTGCTACAATAAAAGAAAATTATTTGTAATGAGAAATCCATTAGTTAAGTCATTTAATTATATAACTTTCAAAAAATACCTTCATGCTCTCTAGAATTGCTCCACAGTCCTTTTTCAGCAGTCTGCTAGGATGTTTAATGGCTTGATTAACCCCTCGACGAATATCTCCCATGCGAATGGACATTTGAGCTACTCCAGCTTGACAGGCTTCATCATGTTCTTGATACTTAAATTTCAGAGTGAGAAAAATATCTTTCATTTTTTCACAAAAAAAAAGTTGGTTTTAAAAAGTTCATGGAAATAGAAGAACAAACATTTTTAAAGAAGGAGTATAAATAATTTTATATTATTTTATTTTTTCTATAAAAATTTTAGTTACATAAAAGTATTCTTTTTTTTTCCAAAAATAATTCACCTGGAATTCCTTTTATTTTCCTATTTGAACACAGAATTTAGCCAAAATCTAAAAAATTCTCCCATAATACTTTGAAAATAGGTTGATTCTAATGTGGCTGGTGGGTTTATATAGACAGCATTTCTCATTGAAGGCCTTCCCAAAGTATTCCTTTTGTTCAAAATATACTAATCTATAAACTTTTACATATGGGGTAGGGAGCCAAAGTGAGCCTCAACTAAATCCAGTCCTCAATTCAATTAAGGTTGGACCACAGCAAGTTTTCTAAAATTAATGGTTTGCCTGTCATGTACATATACAAACATTCACGCAAATACAGAGACAATAACGCCCATATTTGAAGTATGATTCTAGGTATTCCCATGAAAACAAAGATATCTCCCTTAGTATTTTGTATATTATATAGAAGTTGTACAAATATATGTCAAATAAACAAATGAAACAGTACTTTATTTTTGATAGAAATCAGAGGGAAAAAAACTGTGAGAAGGAAAGCACTGTGCGAGGAACAGTTAAGGGAAAAAAGGTTCCCTGAGGTCAATTTTGATGATGGGATATGAGTACAGAGAAATAGTAGTAGTAAAAGCTGATCAGACCTCTAATTTTCACACAGGTAAAAGGTTGGGTGTGTTGATGGGGATGATTTGTTTCAGAATGTTGGGCACAACTGAATAGGCAATTGAGACAGTACTCTAAGGGTGAAAAAAAAAATCTGAAAGGGGCATCAAAAAACCTTGGTTCTAGTCTTAGATTTACCACTAACTGTGTGGTCTCACTTAACTTCAATGGGTTTAAATTTCCTCAGCTATGAGATAAAGGATTTGGAGTAAATGACCTCTAAAGTCCTTTCAAGTTCCTCTATAATTCTATAAGATTTTGTTAGCTGTAGAATGGGAACAGGACTTCAAAGCAGGCTGAACAGGCCACAAATGATAGCTAGATTTTTTTGTTTGTTTTGCCAGGAAGGATGGCCAAGGGGATGTTAAAACATAGACATCATTCAAAAATAATTATTGAACAAGTGATAGATTGCTATAGTGGAGCAGGAGCTATGAAACGGTCAGATTGAGCCTTCAGGTGTAACAGGAATTAAGATTTTACCTACGAATGAAAGTTTGACTAGGATTAGACCTTGGAAGCAGGGTTAGAGAAACTAATATTCATCTTTGTCTCTCTTAGTCATCTTTGAAAGTTCTCTCTTACCCATCTTTGAAAAATGAGTAATCTGACTCCATTTCATCGGTATAACCAGATTTATGTCCAAAGTCAATTCTACCAAATAGTTTATATACAAATCCCCGCTTTTATGCATTTCAGTAAACTTATGAGAGTAAACTGAATCTTACAATCAACCTTAAGTCTTACCTTATTGTTTCCAGTGATTCCTTTCTCATAGTGAGCCAAGGCATTTACATAATCACCTCTAAATGAAAATTAAATACATTTATTAATATAAAGTTAATAGCAGGCACTGAGAGATTGCCCCCTTCTTCCATTTGAGTGACTGGGGAGAAGAAATGGCATCTTAAGTTAGTAATAATAGATGTTTATTGAATTGCATGGCAATGGGTAGAAACAGATAACTAGCTTCACTAAAAAGGAAAAACAAGGAAGAGCAGGAAGTAGAGAAGAGGACTATGGAGGTTTTGGCTTTATTTTCCGTTGGAGAGATGCCCCTGAAAAAAAGATTCGTCCTTACAAAACTGAGAGTCATAAGTAATGACAGGAAAGGGAGTTAGTAGGACTTATGGGAAAGGTATTTGACAAAGGAGCTCTTATATTTAAGACTTTTAAGAGGCTCTGGGTATTTACATATATATTTGGGATTAATAGTTTTTTATTGAAAGGGATTTGTTTTGTTTCTCCCCTTCTAATAAAATTTTCTTCTGTAATATTGTGAATACTAGGTTTAATGATAGGAAGCTGGTTTCAGTATGCTAATAAGTATCATGCCTACATTTTTCCAGACTTCCTGGAGTGGTAGACTACTATAAGCCAGGACAGGGAGAAAATTCCTCAAAGGGTAAGCATGCCTTCCTATTATAAAACTCTCTGATACAAAGGTTACAATAATTTAAAAATTAAACAGCAATGCAGATCATATGCATGCATGCATGCATGCAAATATATGTTACTTCTGACCAATACCTCCTACTATATAATTCCTGTTCTACCCACATCTGAACACAGAGAAGTTACCTTTGGCAGTTACTGGAGCAACTGACCCAGAAAACAGATTGAGGACAGACAATTTAAGAATTACTGGACTACCTAAAAGCCATGATCAACAAGGGGCCTAGATGTTTTATTTCAAGAAATTATCAAAGAAAACTGCCCTGATATCTTAGAACCAGAAAATATTGTACATAGGAATAGCAACATTGTAATGATGATCAGCTATGAAAGACTTGGCTACACTGATCAATACAATGATCCAACACAATTCCAAAGGACTCATGATGAAAAATGCTATCTATCTCCAGAGAAAGAAATGATGGACTCTGAGTGCAAATTGAAGCATAACTTTTTCGCTTTCTTTATTTTTATTGCTTTTCTTTTTGCAACATAGCTAAAATGGAAATGATTTCACAAGTATAATTGATATCACATTGCTTGCTTTTCAGTGGTTTGGGGAGGGGTGGGAGAGAGAGAATTCAGAAATAAAAAAAGTGTAAATGCATGTTTAAAATAAGCAAACAATAATTTTTTTAAAGACTTAGTTCAAATCCTATTCTACAAGAGACCTTTCCTAGGTCCCTCTACTACTAATGTCTTTCCTCTGAGATTACTTCCCATTTACTTTCTTTATGTTTTTATATGCACATAGTTGTTTTTTATGTTATTTCTCCCCATTAGAATACGAACTCCTTGAGAGCAGAACTGTGTTTCTGCCTTTCTTGGTATCCCCAGCTTGGATAAGCCCCTAGAGTAAGACAGTTAAGCTATAAATTAAATAGGCTTCACTGCACTGGCTTGGGAACTAACCTACCTTAGTAAAATTGCTTCTTTGGGGATAGAATTCAAGCAACCAACTTGCAGACAAATGTTTGAAACCTGTCGGTAAGTTGGATATTGCCTGTATGTCCTCTATGGTTCTTCAATATAAATACTAATAACTCTACTTCTCTATCAATATTCAGATGATCCTGAGAATATTACTTTTTAAATTTCTTTTTTATATTAGTGCTTTAAATAAAATAGAACATACGTAAATTCCAACTGAATAGCATACTCCTTTGATAAGAATGAAATCTGGTCTGGGGCCAAACATTTGGCTAGTTGAAGTGCACTGTCCCAATGCTGCAAATCTCTCCTCATCTGTTATTCAAAGAAATATTTATTATCAGAATTTAATTCAATAAACAAAAAAAAAGCATGGCAAAGGGAAAACTTTAAGCAAGCAAAATATACCATGAATAACATAGATCTGTAAAACAATGCTTCAGACTAGGAAAAATACAGGAAAAAAGTAGGAAAGTAAAATTTAAGAAAAACAATCTTCCTTGAATCACATTTGCAAAATATCATCTGCCACATTGGCAGAATTTATGATGACTTACTTTTCATCTCATCATTTAGATAGATCTACAGAGTAACTTCAGGCACAGCAATAGGGGAAATAATCCAGAAAATTAAATGAATTTTATATAATACAAAGAAAAAAAGGATATTTCCTATCTAACATGATACTTAAATTTATGGAAATCCCCTTAATTTTCAATTAATAATAAATGAATGAGAGAATAAATAGGTACTTCAAGTGCTGCAGCAGGACAACTGGATGCCAGATACAGATCTTGCGCCAAATTGAAATCATTAGTAAACATGGCAAGATGGCCTGCTAACAAATTGTGATCTTCTATTCCCTATAAATAGAAATAAATATTAGTTGTACTGGACAGTAAGGTTTTTTATTTTTAATAGTATTTTTATTTTTTCCAGTTACATGTAAAGACAATTTTTAACATCTATTTTTATGAAATTTTAAATTCCAAATTTCCTCCCTAGGATGTAAGCAATTTGATATAGATTATATATGTTCAATCATGTAAAACATATTTCTATATATTAGTCATGTTGTGAAAGAAGAAACAGAACAAAAGGAAAAAAACATGAAAAAAATTTTAAAGTGAAAATAGCATAGTTCGATCTGCATTCAGAGTCCATCAGTTCTTTCTCTGGATGTGGACAGCATTTTCCATCATGAGTCATTTGGAATTGTGTTGGATCATTAAGCTAAGTCAATCACAGCTGATCATTGTACAATGTTGTTATTACTATGTATAGTGCTCTTTTGGTTCTGTTAACTTCACTTTGTATCAGTTCTTGTAAGTCTTCCCAGGTTTTTCTGAAATCGGTCTGCTTGTCATTTCTTATAGCACAATAATATTCCATTACATTCATATGCCACAACTTGTTTAGCCATTCACCAATGAATGGACATCCCCTCAATTTCCAATTCTTGGCCATCACAAAAAGAGCTGCTACAAATATTTTTGACAATGTAGGTCCTTTTACCTTCTTTTTGTCTCTAGACCCAGTAGTGGTATTGCTAGATCAAAGGGTATGCTCAGTTTGATTGCCCTTCGGGCATAGTTTCAAATTGTTCTCCAAATGGTTGGACCAGTTCACAACTCCATCAACAATACATTAGTGGGTCCTGATTTTCCTACACTTTCTCCAACATTTATCATTTTCCTTTTCTGTCATATTAGCCAAACTTATATATGTGTTTTATTTATTTTATTTCTCTAATCAATAGTGATTTAGAGGATTTTTTCATATGACTATAGATAGCTTCAATTTCTTCATCTGAAAACTGCCTGTTCATATCTTTGACCATTTATCAATTGGAGAATGACTTGTACTTTTATAAATTTGACTCACTTCTCTGTATATTTGAGAAATGAGGCCTTTATCATAGATGCTTGCTATAAAAACGGTTCCCCAGCTTTCTGCTTTCCTTCTAATCTTGGTCACAGTGGTTTTGTTTGTGGAAAAAAAATTTTATTTAATGTAATCAAAATTATACATTTTACATCTCTTAATGTTTTCTATCTCTTGGTCATAAATTCTTCCCTTCTCCATAGATCTGACAGGCAAACTATTTCTTGCTCTCCTAATTTGCTTATGGTATCACCTTTTATATCTAAATCATGTACCCATTTCAACCCTATCTTCATATACATCGTGAGATGTTGTTCTATATCTAGTTTCTGCCATACCATTTTCCAGTTTTCCCAGCAGTTTTTGTCAAATAATGAGTTCTTATCCCAAAAGCTGGGGTCTTTGGGTTTATTAAACACTAGATTATTATGGTTATTTACTACTACATCTTATATACCTAATCTATTCCACTGATCTACCACTGTTTCTTAGCCAGTACCAAATGGTTTTGATGACTGTCACTTTGTAACAAAATTCTAGATCCAGTTCAGCTAGACTACCTTCTTTTGCATTTGTTTTCATTAATTCCCTTGATATTCTTGACTTTTTGTTCTTCCAGATAAATTTTATTATTTTTTCTAGCTCTACAAAATGATTCTTTGGTAGTCTGATTGGTATGGCACTGAATAAGTAAATAAACTGAGGTAGAATTGTCACTTTTATTACATTGTTCTGACCTACCCATAAGCAACTGATATTTTTCCAATTGTTCAAATTTGACTTTATTTATGTGAAAACTGTTTTGTAACTGTATTTATATAATCCCTGGGTTTGTCTTGGTAGGTAGACTCCAAAGTATTTTAGATTGTTTACAGTTATTTTAAATGGAATTTCTCTTTCTGTCTCTCCCTGTTTAACTTTATTGGTAATATACAAAAATGCTGATGATATATTGTAAGTTTATTTTATATCCTGCAACATTACTGAAGTTAATTATTTTAAGTAGTTTACCATCATATAATCTGTAGAGTGATAGTTTTGTTTCTTCATCACCTGTCCTAATTCCTTCAATTTTTTTTCTTGTCTTATTACTAAAATTATTACTTATTACTAGCATTTCTGATATAATATTGAATAATAGTGATATAATGGATATCCTTGCTTCACCCTTGATCTTACTAGGAAGGCTTGTAGCTTATCCCCATTAAAGATAATGCTTACTGATGGTTTTGGATAGATACCATTTACCATTTTAAGGGAATCTCCATTTACTCCTATGGTCTGTAGTGTTTTTAATAGGAATGGGTGCTGTATTTTGTCAAAAGTTTTTTCTGCACCTATTGAGATAATCATATTATTTTTGTTGGTTTTGTTATTGATATGGTCAATTATCCTTAGAGTTGAACTATCCTACATTCCTGATATAAATCCCACCTGTTCTTAGTGTATGATCCTGGTGATATATTTCTACAATCTCCTTGCTAGTATTTTATTCAAAATTTTTGCATCTATATTCGTTAGGGAAATTGGCCTATAGTTTTCTTTGTTTTGGCTTCTCTAGTTTAGCTATCAGCATCATATCTGTTTTATAAAAGGAATTTGGTAGAATTCCTTCTTCCTCTAGTTTACCAAATAGTTTATATCATATTGGAATTAATTGTTCCTTGAAACACTAATGCATTTTTGGTGGAGTTGTGAACTGATCCAACCATTCTGGACAGCAATTTGGAACTATGCCCAAAGGGCATACCCTTTGATCCAGCTATACCACTTATAGGTCCATATCCCAAAGAGATCATAAAAAAAGGGAAAAGGACCCACATGCAGCTCCTTTTGTGGTGGCAAAGAATTGGAAATTTAGGGGATGTCCATCAACTGGTGAATGGCTGAACAAGTTGTGGTATATGAATGTAATGGAATACTATTGCTCTATAAGAAAAGATGAGCAGGCAGATTTCAGAAAAACCTGGAAAGACTTATGTGAACTGATGCTGAGCGACGTGAGTAGAACCAGAAGAACATCATACACAGTAACAGCAACATTGTGCGAGGACCAACTTTTGATAGACTTAGCTCTTTTCAGCAGTACAATGATCTAAGACAATTCCAAAAGACTCCTGATGCAAAAAGCTATCTACATCCAAAGAAAGAACTGTGGAGTCTGAATGCAGATTGAAACATGCTATTTTCACCTTTTTGTATTGTTTTGTTTTTTCTGTGGTTTTTCCCTTTTGTTCTGATTCTTCTTTTACAACATGACTAATGAGAAAATATGCTTAATATGATTGTATATGTATAGCCTATATCAAATTGCATGCCATCTTGGGGAGGGGAGAGAGGAAGAAGGGAGGAAAAAATTTGGAACTCAAAATCTTATAAAAGTGAATTATGAAAAATAAAAAAAAAATTTAAGGAATTAATAGTTCTTTAAATGTTTGGTAGAATTCACTAAAATCCATCTGGTCCTGAAGATTTTTTTCTTAGGGAGTTCGCTGATGGTTTTTCAATTTCTTTTTCTAAAATGAGGTTATTTAAGTATTCTATTTCCTCTTTTGTTAATATGGGCATTTTATAGTTTTGTAAATACTCACTGATTTCCCTTAGATTGTCAGATTTATTGGCATACAGTTGGGCAAAATAGCTCCTAATTATTGTTTTAATTTCTTCTTCATTGGTGGTTAATTCATTCTTTGCATTTTTGATACTGGTAATTTAGTTTCTTTCATTATTTCTTTTAAATGAAATTAAGCAATGGTTTACCTATTTTATTGTTGTTATTTTTTTCATAAAACCAGCTGTCAGTTTTATTTATGAGTTCAATGGTTTTCTTACTTTTGATTTTATTAATTTCTCCTTTAATAATCTCCTTTTAAGGTTACAATTTTGTGTTTAATTGGGGATTTTTAACTTGTTCTTTTTCTAATTTTTTTAATTGCAAGTCCAATTTGTTAATCTGCTCTTTCTCTGTTTTACTGATGTAAGCATTTAAAGGTATAAATCTACCCTAAGTACTGCTTTGGCTACATCCCATTAATTTTGATATGTTGTCTCATCATTTTCTTTAATAAAATCATTGATTACTTCCATGATTTGTTTTTTGACCCATTCATTCATTAGGATGAGATTATTTAGTTTCCAATTAATTTTAATCTATCTTTCCATGACCCTTTCTTATATGTAATTTTTATTGCATCATGATATGGCAAGGATGCATTTAATATTTCTGCCTTTCAGTATTTGATTGTAAGGCTTTTTAACACCCTAATACATTGTGTGTATCACTGACCAAAAAAAAATCTATATTCATTTCTAGTCCCATTCAATTTTCTCCAGAGGTCTATCATATATAACTTTTCCAAAATTCTATTCACCTCCTTAACTTCTTTCTTGTTTATTTTGTGGTTTGATTTATCTAGTTCTGAGAGGAGAAAGTTGAAGTCCCCCACTAGGACAGCTTTTCTGTCTAATTTCTCCTGTAACTCATTTAACTTCTCCTTTAGAAATCTGGGTGCTATACCATTTGGTACATATATGTTTAGTATTAATATTATTTCATTGTCTCTGGTATCTTTTAGCAAGATGTAGTTTCCTTCCTTGACTCTTTTAATTAGATCTATTTTTGCTTTTGCTTTGTCTGACATCATAATTGCTACCCCTGCTTTTTTTTTCACTTCAGCAGATACATAACATATTCTGCTTTAGCCTTTTACCTTTACTCTAAGTGTGTCTTTCTGCTTCAAATGTGTTTCTTGTAAACAATATATTATCAGATTCTGGTTTCTAATCCACTCTGCTATCTGTTTCCATTTTATGGGTGAATTAATCCCATTCATAATCACAGTTATGATTACTAATTGTATTTCCCTCCATTCTATTTTTTCCCTGTTTATACTCCTTTCACCCTGTCCCTCCTCAACACTGTTTTGCTTCTGACCACCTCCCTTAACCTGTTCTACCTTCTATGAGCCCCCCAATATGT